ATTGATTAACCAGATATTGAAGTTTCTGATCAATTTTTTCATATTTTGCTCGTCGCGATCGCTTTATACTTCCACTTTCAAGTTTTTCGATAAGAATTTGAGTTGAATGTTGTTCGTTTTTGATATCTTGGATAATTTTGTAAATAACAGGATGAGCAGCAGCACCAACAAATTGATTCATGACATTGTTCCAGCCTTCTGCTGGATTATTCGTTCTTGGCAAATCGTGTTCAAGACGTTCAAAACAATTCCACATAGATAATGGAAAACGTGGTGCTTTACGACGATTGTTGCGCGCAATTGATCCAATATAGTTTTCTTCAAAGTAACTAACGAATTCTTTAATTTCATCTGAAGCTGATATCTTCAGTATTTCAAATTCAGCTGAAACATCTTGTGTTGGAAAAATGTTAATGCCATAATATCTTTAATATGATGCCTTATATCACGATCTTCTACAAATTCATCTTTTAATGGAAGTTGCACAGTTTTACGCCATGCGGCTTGTTTTTAATGGAAGAAACCCAAAAACAGTGACATTTTGAAATGTTGCTTTAAGGCCGCGTCACGCATAGGAAGTCTCATTTCATGTAAATGAAAGAGAGCTCAGGTTGGTCTTGTTTTGCAGTAAACACCTATGCCTAGGAGTTGACAAAGCCCGATTTTTGAATTTCTCATTTACTGATTTCTGGTGCTTAACAGAACCTTAAAGTCCGAAATCTGTTAAATGCATTTTACTTAAAATCTGTTTGAGCGTTAGATAATTTGTTGATATTTTGTGAGAGGTTATCGGCCATGTGCGGCACATGCATGGGCTTATGCAATACAACTGCAAAAAAGCCATTTTTTTGTTGTAAACGATAACTATTTTTCTCCTGCATGAAATATAAAAATTGCAAGAAATCGTTTTGTGCTGTTCTATTTTTCGATAGATAAATAGAAAGGAAAGCGAAGTAATATATAGCGTGTTATTTATCTTTTTATTTAAGTTTCATTTTTCTTTCTTCTAATCACCTTTGATAAGACGAAAACCATGGATTAAAGCAAATTTAACGATCGTTCATTGAAGATCATATCGTAGAAAGTTGATCATGCCAGAAGATAAAATGGGCGAAATTTAATTTCTGACATTTTTGTAGCAGAGTCATAGGAGGGGCACTAGTGATCGATTCTTACAAAAGAAAATCCCACTAGCAAGTTATTCCTTGATCGTAAAGCGAGAGTCGCAAGCGTTTCAAGAATGAACCAGAAACATTGACTTGGAATGTAATGTTATTCAACTACAAATATTCAAAAGACGAGTAATTTGCCTGATGAACTTCAAAATCTCTTAAGTGTGTCATATTTTATTTAACTGAATAAATAATTTGTTAAAACGAATTTGTAATAAAATCTGCATAAACAAATCTGTTCATGTTTCCTTGACAACTACAGAACCAATTACAAGCATTAGTGACATAAAAAATATTGTTTACGAAAATTATCGTGTGAATATTGAAAAGAGTATATATAACTACATTGAGCAATGTATAGATACAAAAGTCGAAGAGAAACAAATCATTTGAGCAAATGAACAGATAGAGAGTGAAAAGTTTAATCCACTTCGTATTTTGATTTTATTTCGTTCCTGACTGTGATAACCAAAACAAATCGAAAAAGCAACAATTAACAAATGAGATAGATCAAACTGATTGTTCGTTTATGTCAAACGAAAATTTTCGATTACTAGTTGGTAGTATTTACTGACAAACTGAAGAATGCTACTTAGCATAAATTCCTGAATCGAGCTTAGAAAGAAGTGGAAATAATTTGGAATCCTTAGTTTGTAGTCGAAATGTCTCTGATGAGTGAGTATTTCTATATATTTATTCATGCATCGCATATTTAATTGTATATTTTCTATATTTCATATTTTGAAATATCTGAAATGCTGCTGTCACTGATGGTAGAGTAATGGCCATTACTATAGAACCATAACAAACACCAATTAGAGCCAATACGTAGGATATTGGTCGATACTCTGTGATATCACTATAGCCAATGGTGATAATAATGGTAAAACCATGCCATAATGCTTCACCAATTGTTGTTAGTTCATTTTCGACTGAATAATGTTCGAGAACAAATTCACCTAAACCAAAATAAAGAGCTCCAAATATCATCAATGTGAATAGCATGATAATATCTTTTAATGATACATATAATGTACGAATAAATATTTTCAAACATTGAGCATGTTTTGTAAAACGTAACAAACGCAATAATTTAAAAACACTCAAAACATCGAATAAACGTGTTTTTTCAAACACAAATGACTGTTCATCATTTAACTGTGATGTATGTAAACGATAGAATAACAAGGCTAAAACAGTTGGTAATATAGAGAGAATATCTAATGCAAAATACACATCGTTAATAAGAAATGAAAATGACGGAGCTGAGATGGTGCGAAATATTAATTCAAACCAAAACCAAATTGTACAACATACTTCTAAAATAGTATTTGTCGAATCAAAATCGGGTATAAACTGGTATGGACGAAGACTTAATTGATTACATTCTAATGTATTATTTTCCGGTTTTAATGGATGTGTTACCAGCCACATCGTATCATTTGTACTTCGATAGCTATTCATTGTTTCCAAGCATAATGAATAGAGAGATAAAGCATTAAATGTAGCCGAAAACAATGATAATATTGCTCCTAATTTTCCTGTTGGTGGATAGCGTAACGCACGCCACATAGAACGTTTCCACCATTTGTCAGGCTCTAAGAGAAAAGTCGATGAGTACAACCATTCTTAATTGAAAAACCGTTACCTAGTTCTATTTCCTCTGCCATTGATAGATAATCGCCATAAAATGCTTGCGTTAATTTATCCTCCAATTCAAAAAATCTTATCTCTTCATAAAATACAATTGCCGGAATTGTTTCCGATTTTGTTAAAACACCATCTGTGATGTAATAGTATAATATTGATTCAAACGACGTTGCATGACGTGGGATGAAATATTCGTTGGAACCCGGTGCCAGATACCGTGCTCGTTTACCTGGATTACCCAGAACAGTATTCGGAAATGCTAATAGAACATCGACATTTACTTCAAAATGAGTTCCAGATATATTTATGTTTAAACGATCATCTTCTCCTTCGAAAAATGCTGTCATATTCAACAAACGTTCAAGAGCTTCCTGCGCTGATCCTTCCATAATTACCTGTTCGTTTTTCACTACTAACTCTTCAAATGAAACATTTTTAACAAATAAGCAACAATGGCGGGTAAATTATATTCAAAAAATTTAGATTTCTACTGTTACCTCTCCATCAAACTAGGTGCCGATACCTTGATCTAAACTTAAGTACACTTTTGAGTAAAACAGTACGTATAGAAATATTCAACAGACATACAGCAGTCATGTCTACTTTGAGACGTATAACTTTGAGTAATAACATAAATATATCAAAAGCCTGTAGCGTAAACGAATAAAGCAATGTCAATGTGTGACGTAGATACTGTTTTAAATTATTCTGGTTCCATGACATTAATCTGTCACGACTAACAAATGCTATGTTGAAAATTAGTTTTAACTAATACAGTATTGCCTGCCTGTTCAATACCTTCCAGTCAGTATCTATCTTTCTCACTTTTATTAGAAATTATTCTCATTAAAGTAATTTGAAATTACTGTTCAATTGTTTGGCTCTAAAAACTCTGTAAGTAATACATGCAGAACGGGTCGGGTTCGGGTCGACGTAAAAGATATTGATTCAGATCGCGTTTGGTTGACCCGTTTCGATCTAACTCAAGTCAATATAAAATAAACTACCTGAATTATCCAAACTTTTCCACTCATAAAAGGAAAAAATGACGGAAACCGTAAGGGATCTGATCATTTTTTGGAAAAAATTTCAATATAATCTGACTAAGATAACTTTTCTATACGAAAGACGTGTTTTTTTGCGAATGTTTACGAAAACGCGTTCATGTTTCGGGTCTAGTTCGGATCACAATTGCAAAATTTTCGGGCCCGTTCGGGTCGTGTCAGGTCAGATTTGGTTGATCCGTTTCGGTTTCTGGTATGTATCTAAGTGTAATGTCTCTTTTCTCCACGGGAAAAACATCAGAGCTTTTTACCCAAATACATAAAAATAAAAAAGAATATTTTATATTGTAGATATCATAATCTATCGTGTCTAAAAGAGACATTTTCATGCGTTTCTCTGCATTCTGGATCCGACTCGAAAACTAGCGAACAATTTTAGGAGATTTTTTATTTTAACATATAGAAAACTGTTTGGTTCAATTGACAAATTGTCTAACGAATAATATTTTCCCGCGAATGATGAATCAAGTTGATGATTCATTTGTTGCCAAGCGGAAATTAATTTTCAGGACATATATTACTTGAGAATCATCTTTTTTCTCTTGGCAATGATTATATACTGATCGTTTAGTACTCACTTGCGACGACAAATTAGCACTTGCTGAACTGACCTAACAGATAGTAGTTTTATTTTCATAAGACTTATTTAGTGGATTGCTGATCTGGATGATGATACTGTGTAATATCCGTTTACTTTTTTTTTAGATAAATTGAACTGTGTTTTATAAAACGATTTGATGATATTTTTTAAAAGCATCGTATTTGTTTTTAAGATATTATGCTGCAATTTGGATAAATATATTCGTGATGAATCTACAAGAGAACAACACAGCTGTCTAACTTTCATCTCTCTGTGTTAGATAACGTACAAAAGTTGGCCTGTAGAATAATCCTTAGAGATTATGACAGTTATTCCTCGTAACTTCTCACTCGGCTAAATTTAGCATCGCTCTCCGCTGGAAGAAAATATTTTTGTCTTGCTTATTTTCATAAACAATACAACGGGAAAAGTGTTTTGTCTGCTAGAAATCTAATTACTCCACCAACAAATTGACGATCGTCTAGAATAGCGCATAATAAACAAATTCAAAACCCTTGCTATTCCTTCAAGTCTACTTCGGGGTCATTTTTTCCTCGTACCACTGACGACTGGAATGTGCTACCATGCACCGTTGTGAATCAGATCAGTCACATAACCTATCATAGTCTTTTGAAACAATATCTTCAACTTTTATAATTGATCTGTGTTTTCTTGTACCTTATCAACAAAATGTGTTAAAATGTACCATCCCTCTTCGTGCCATATATGAGTCTGTCATATAAATTTATATTTCAAATTTAACTTGCTCTCTTCAGTATTTCTTTATTTCTTTCGTATTTTCGATGTTCCATTAGCATAAGCTAGCCTTCCTTTGTAACAATCATGCTTACAAAAATAAAAATTCAGTTCAGTTCAGTTCAACTTTGTGACGGTCATATAAATGCATGCATACGAATCTACGCACCCATATCTTCGGATAAGCTGAATAAAGTGCAGTTTTCATATCTTTGAACTACTGGTTATCAAAAGTCTTCTTCAAGTAAAGTCATCTACTCCCATTAAAAAGATAAGCAAGGCTGATAAATCTCTAACTCTGGTATTTCATACTTTCTCTGATTTTTTCGTTTTTGATTGTCATTAAACAAATATCAGTTGAGCTCAAGCATAGCAGCGTTTGTCTCCGACTGCATTCGTTCTTCCATCTCGAATCAAGAATTGTGTGAAGCAAGTCCGAAACTATTGAATTGTCTACCTGTCGCAAGCCTTAAGCTATAACTTCCATGTCGCAAAAACAACGCTTGCTTGCAAGAAAATGCTCGGAGTCATTAGTTGCACTGCTGGAAATCTTGCACCTGCACCGTCACACGATCGTTGAGATCGTCAGTCATCACTGCGTTTCTAACTATTTTTTATATTTCTTTGACATTGCTCAGTTTTTCTACTCTAATTTATGTTATCCACATCCCGCACCTGACGTTGTCAGTTAAGACAGAAAAGCAAACCTTACATCGTTGTGCGAGGATGCAGTCAACATTTAGATATGTAGCAATACGTGAGTAAATAAAATTCTAGTTTTTGACTGCTTTTTGTTAGGAACGAAAGATGGAAACTAAACAGGTTTTAATAGTCGATAGAATCGATATTTGAGAATAGTTTTTCTTTGATTCAAATATTAAATGATTCTCAGAATGATTGTCAGAATTGCGCTACTATATTGTTCGTCATCCGTTAAAGAGGCGAATATTTCATGTGATTTAATTTTTTTTGAAAGCATAAACGTTTTAGATTTTAATTTTGATAGTTAATATCTCAAATTATGAAATATTAGTGAAAAAGATAAATGAAACAATGGATGCCTAGATAAGCATTGAATAATAAATAGCGGATATTGCCAAATGAAACAAATGAAAAGAACACATCATTGTGTGACTAGAAGTTTTACTATTTATTCTTTTTGTAGTAAGGAAACTTTAAATTGTTTTTCTATTCAAAGAGAGAAAAAAAATCTCATTGTTCTATTATTGATGCAATAAATTATCTTAGTCGTATAATTACAAACGGAATACTATTGTTAAATAGAAGATATAGTTGACCCGAAGAATATGTTACCTATTATGAAAATGACAAATGTATAAATAAGAAAGACCTTGCGGTTGTATTTATATCAACTTCAGCCTCCTAGCTCATTCACATAAATATATATATATGCTTGACTAAAACGACGATCCGCTATTTATTTACTTATTGCACGATTATTTACTATAGATTTTGTGAAATGTAAAGGTCTTACCCTTGGCATAAGTAGAAAGGATCTTTTTAGCAGAGCAACTGTTTTCTGTACAGCCGTTATATACTAAACAAATTCATAGACGATCCAAGTTTTTTAATTAAATGCATGGAGGAAAAAATGAGCAAAATATTAGTAGATGTAATTATAGCAGTCGACATTTTGAATTTATTAACCGGACGCTGGGAAAATGAGGCTCTATATTTTTATTAGAGAGAAAATTATAGTTGAAAGAGAATGTCGACATCGATAACCAGATTTTCGATAGGACAGAAAATAATTTTTTGCTATTTTTGATTATGAATTGAAAAGATATGTCTATGTAACATAGCAAAAAGCGAAGGATATCTTTTCATAAAAAGCAACATTTGCATATCTACTCTACTTCTTCAACAAAGAAAAAATGCCATCTGAAGAAAGAAATATTATCCCTCATATAGATACTGTACACTATAGACTGTATATAAACAAAGTAGAAAAAAAAATGTTTTCTATCTTGTATTTATCTGTTATATCTGCATAGACGACAATTCGTCGTCTCACATATAGATACAATAATCAGTTGACAAGAAAAGGAAAATGTTGTCCCTGCTTAAATGTATTTTTTGTTATTCCCACCCAAGCTACCAACAGTTCAGGATATTATTATTCATCATGAGAAAAAGAACTGCATGAAAACAGACGATACCCTTACAAATAAAAGGCCGTATCTCTCCACTGTGCATGTATATAGAGTAGTTATGATTATTATCAGAAAAATAGACGAAAGATTATTAGAGATACAAAAAAAAAAAAAGAGAAGAAAAACTATCTCGTCTCAAAGCAACGATTTATTTTTTTGTGTCGTTGTTGCTGAAAGCAATAGCTTCTTGTTGAATATCTATAGAGGTTGAGAGAAACAGCAAACCTTTCTAAAATCGCTGTTACACAAAAGGATTTTCTGCATTATTTGTGTCAGAATAAAGTGAAAAGAGGAGAAGAAAGAAGAAACCAGACGGTATACATTAATAACAACAGAAAACATTCAAATATACATCGAATCCAAATGTAATACAATTTAATTAATTAAATGTAACTACAAAAGGAAACAGGAACGATTATTAAAAAAAAAAATTAATCAATTTTTATCAAAATATAAAAAGTAAGTGAAAGATTATAGCATTAATCATGAGAAGAGAAATATTTTCTCATTGTTTACCTATGATTGATCTATAGAAAAATGATTTTATATTAAAATTACAAATTTTCGCGGAGTTTATCTTATACAGCTGTTCATCATGAAGATCATATACACTCTTCTTCAGTCATCATATATACCCTATTCTGTGACAAAGAATAATTGATCAATTTTTTGTCACAGAATAATATACTGACTACTGTTTAGTATATTTTCTATAACGAGAGAGTATGAGATGCACTGTCTCTTTAACGAAAGAACGTACCATTATTCAAATATTTCTTATCACATATTATTTAATCATTCTTTTGATATTATTCAATATTAAAAATATCAGATAATTCTGAACATCTTAAGTAGACTCTTCCGCACTAGATGGATGTATTGATTTAGTCGGATATAGATCCTCGTTTGATGATCAAAACTCTTGAAGAACATCGCAAAAAAGTTAATTATTGAGTGAAAATTTCCCTTCTTTTTATCAAGCATTAATAATGTTACACAGGACTTTTTTATTGTAATTAGATTAGTGTTTGTTTTTATTCTAAAAATAATATTCCAAATGCCTATTCCATTATGCCTATTTTTTCTCATAGAAACGAGATGGAAAATTTTTTAACATAGTTTCGAAAACAGCGTAGCATTATCATTTCAGCACACTAAATTGCATTCTTTTCAAACACTTTTAGATTGAAGAAAACAGTCAAACACTTTGTTTAGGAACTAGATCTGCCCCTTATATCAACTACTATGAGAAGGTCTAGAATAACCACATTTGCCTATTCAATAGGACTGAATTATATACATTTTTTAATCGGTTTCGTCTTCCGTTGCGAACAATTCATCATCTGATTGTTTGACAATCTAGCAAACGAAACTTTCCCTTTTATTTTAGTTCGATAATATGACATCATTGGACATCATCGAAGAATCTACATCAAATGAAGTAACTAAGGAAGAGAATCTCGCCGTCGAAGAACCTAGATTAAATGAAGTTACTAAGGAAGAGAACCTCGTCGAAGCATCGCAATCAGTTTCATTAATAGATGATCAACAACCATCTCAAAAAAACAATTTATCCGTTGAAATAAATAAAGACAATACCAACATCGAAGATGTTGATAGCAAAAAAATTGAAAAACAGTCTGATGATACAAAAACAGAAAGTTCAGTTGCCGATGAATTATCGTCAAATAAAGAAAATATTCGCGACACAAATTCAAAAACCCCACGTAGCGTTAACTTTAAAAAGGAAGTGAATGACACACGTTCCCAGCCGACCAAAAAGCTCGATCAGTCGAATGATGATACTCGATCACAAGTAGATGATATTCGTCCTCAACTAACCAAAAAGCTCGATCAGTCATATTCGTCCAAAAATCGTTCACAATATAATCGTCCAATTGATTTTGTTGATGCTTTAGTAAACAGTTATAAAGTCGAAACAAATATTCCATACACTAGTAATAATGAAGAGAAAAAATATGTACCAAAAACATCTCATACACGTTTAAATCCCAACTGGCGTGAACATCGTACACGACGTTTAATGAACAAATTAGAAGAATTAAGTTTATGGGATCGTGAGGAAGAAATGAAATATAAACAAGCCGAATGGTTACGTGAGCAAAAATGGGAACAAATACAAGATCGTCAACGAAATCATGATCTATGTTTCAATTTGATGAAAGCGAGACATGAAAGTGAAATGGAAAGTGCAGTCACATTAGATAATCATCAAAACGATGATTTTAATACAAGAAACACAATACTTAAAACATTACAATTATCTTCACTCAATAATGTAATAGATTACGACATACCTATGCCGCCCCAAACACTTAAACGTCGTGTTAAACAACAATTACAACAAGATCAATCCGATCATTTGGAACCACGAACACCTATCGGTCGTTATCGTCAATTTGAATCAACTATGGAACATAAAATGGATAAAATAAATGATAAATTAAAACCCGATACGGAGATAATGCGTGCCTATGGTCATCATGCCTATATCCCACCGGTACCAGTATTGTTTAGTGAAACATATGGTAGACTATTAACCAGTCCATCATCCTATGAATCACCTTCACCATCAGCATCGTCATCCTCATATCGTTCGAATTATTTACATGGGAATGAGAGATTTTCATCCCCTGATTATGAAACAAAATTACGTTCATATTCAAAACGAGATGTACGCGTACCATTAAAAGATCTTGAAACAATTCATTCATCTTATTATGATCAGAGTGGTGACGATGACAATATTAGTGATTATTATCCGTCATCGTATCGTATTGGTAGTGGTGTTGGTTTACAAAAACAACGTTCGCATTATAGTCCACCAAAACGAACAACAGCATCGGCACTCTACGATTGTTCAATGACAACACCGAGAAATTATGATGAAGATTATTATTCACCAAAATCATACCATCATTCGACATCTGCTGGTGATTCATTATTAAAAACAACAAATAATCATACTAGTATACATGAAAGAAGTTTAAATGATGATTTAAATACAATTTCACGTTTTTCATTAGAAACATCAAAAAAAATTCTACAAAATCTTGGCAGTACTAGTGGTAAAGATGATTTACTCAATGGTGGTGGTCTATTAAAATCTAAGAATTCTGCCACCAATAATGGCCATGGTAATAATCGAAAACATGTTACATTTAGTGAAGAACGATCATTTGGCTCCGATTATAATCGTGATGATTACATAAAATTAGGAAAACGAGATGGAGGAGATGGAAGAGATGGAAATAAAAATTCTTATTCATCATCAACAAAATATCCTGAAATTATTTCATTAACATCAATGAAATAAAAATGACAACTATGAGTTGTATCACAAAACATATAAAGTTAGACTTTATTTTGTTTTCAAATGTTTTTATATAAACCTCTCTATAATTTTCTATTACTATTTAACCGCTACACATATTCTCATTATTATCATCATCACTTTTCTTCTTTTTTATTTTTGCTTTTATCTGTTGTATTTGGCAGATGAATAATCATAGTTTGTATTATGCAAAACGAAAAAGAGACAAACATTAGTCTTTTGTCATCTATATTTGACGAGTGCCTACACTTCATTAAGAGAATATAAGTATTAATATACTTTTAGACAATTTCTCAAATCTTAATGGATTATCTTCATGGGACATCATTTTCTTTATATACATGTTTGTCTACAGAATATTGATATAATTAATAGTCTCAAAGTCTGAAATAACTAAACTATACAAATTAATAGTAACAGTGTTGAATATACTAAACAACTGAAATGGTAGATCGATGAAAGCTTTCAATTAAAGAAAAATAAAAGCAAAATTAGAATATCAACACTGTTAAACGTTTCCGATTCAGTTCCGATTCGTTGACACTACTTTATAGTGTCGACGGCTCTATAGACATCTTTCATCTCTCCACCCAAAATGTTGTCGACGGGTCCGGAAAAAAATTAATATGTCGATAAATCGAAAATATAGCACGTTTCCGTATATACACATAAAACGAGTATACACTCTTCTGATAATGTCTAACAGTACATTCTTTAAAAAGAAAAGAAGTAGATAATTACGTTACTTTTGGTTATTTAATCAGATTTTTAATTAAGAATTAGAAATAGATCATATATTTCAACATTGATAGAAGGAAAAAACATTTCAATGGTACAAGAACACACTCGATGGAGTGAAGTGTGTATTAACATGCAAGTTTTAAATTGATATTATTTGAGTTTTACTTGTTTGTTGCAGACGTATAAAAAATAAAAGAAGAGCATGAACTTTTCCTATTTGTGACAAAAAAAAAGTCACTATAGTTTGTACATTTTGTTCTAAATTATTTCTCTATCCAAAAAACATTTATCGACAATATCAGTTTTAATTAACCATAAACTATTTTTTTTGTTCTTTTTCTTGTTTTTGTTTTTGTACACATTTTAATAACAAAATCTCCTGAAGAATATGTATGATGAAGATGAGTACATATAAAAAATTTTTATGAAATACAAATACAAAAAAGTTTAATCCATATTTAATTATATGAAGAAGAAAAAACAAAAAGAAGAAAAATTTCACGCAAAAAAAAAAGGATGATATACATAAATTAAATGTAACAATGACTAGAACATTGATTTCTATTTTTGCTATTCACATATGATGTTAGCAGAAAAAATTTTTTAATTAAAAAGAACATAGAAACATACTGTTATAAGAATTAATACTAAACAGAGCATGTATTACTAATTTTATCATTGAATAATAATTTAATTTGTTTTTTTCTTTACTTTTGAACATATTTATACTGTTTTATATATTACCAATGATTACATGACGATTTAACATCTAAAAAAAATAGATATGATAAAAAAATTAATTCTATTAATTCACATAGAGAAAACTGATGTTAATTAGGCAATCATTTTTTTATTTTTTGTATATAAAATCAACACATCTTATCCACAACTGTTAAGCAACCATAAAACAAATTCGAATGGACACTTAATGGTTGTGAAAAAGATATAATTGAAAATTTCATCTTTTCTTCTTTTTTTTTTTTTCTTTTCTCAATAGTCATCAATCGAATTTATTCTTACCACATATTTTATTTAACTATTTAATAAAGAACATTGTGAATTTCTTCGACGTAATTGTTCAGTTGTTGAAATAACTAGAAAATAAAAGAGAGAGAAAGAGATTTTTTTTTTTATTATAAGAAATAAATAAATCTATTGAGAAAATAAACTATATTACATGATGTTCCATTGCCATTTGTATTCGTTATATCAAGCATTGAATTTGATAAGGTTCGCGATAATGGACGAATATGATTTCGTTTTGAATCAACAATTGAATAATCTATTGTAGTTGGTAAAGTTGATTGTATTGTTGTTGTTGTTGTTGTTGTTATTGATCCATTTGTATCTTCACGTGGTAATGGACTCCATGATAAACGAAGTTTATCTAATTCAGATTGAATTCGAAGACTCTCCATTTCATCCATCTAAAAAAATTAATTATTTAACATAATAAATACAATTAATTATTTTATAATACCTCCATTATTGCTTCTTTTAAATCTTCACAAAATTTTGTTCGATCATGTTCATTTCGAGCATTAAATGTTATTAAATGTGTTTGATTTGTATCTGGTTTTCGAACTAAACGTATTCCATGTTGATAATCTATTTAATAATAATAAAAAAATAGAATTTTTGTTTTATTTTGTTATATCTTAAAAAATTGAATTTATGTCTTACGTGATGTTTCAAATAAATATAAATTCATACCAGATAATCGAAAACCATGACGAAATGTATACTGAATTTGATTACGTTTTTTATTTGATATTTTAGTTATCTAAAGTTAAAAAATAATAAATAAATAAAAAATATTTGCAAAAGAATAGAATAAAAATATATTTTTTACCACAAGTAAATCATTGAATAAAAATACTTCTCGTTGATGTGCTGTTAAACGTTCACGTTTAGTTAAATCATGTATTTCATATAATCGACAATAGCATACAAGTCGTCGATGTGGTGCTATTAATGATGGTTTTTTTCCAATAAGTGTTTGTTCAAATTTTGCACACTGTGTCACATGATCGCTATCTGGACGAAATTCTTTTGTTTTAATACGTTCATATATACCTTTGAGATAAATGGGATCAAGATCTTCACCATCATCAATACCTAAAAAGTCAAATTTATTATGATATAATTAATATTAAAAATGTTAAGAAATCATAAATAAAAAGATATTTTTATTCTTCTTCTTGTTTTTTTTTTTGTTGTTATTGCTATTTCATTGTTATGCAAACATATGCATAATAACTACCGTTTATTTATATAAATTGTTCAATCAATACTATCTGCTTGTTGTTCAGTTTAGATTTAACAAAAAAGTGGTTGTTGAATAAAATACTATTTTCTAACTTAGTGACTTTATATGCACATACATACAAAAAATAAGAACAGATCGTTTTAGGAGAGAATAAAATACAAAAGAAATTTTCTTAATTTACTAGCATTTATAGTTCTATAGTAATAATAATAGCTAACATCAACGGATTTTTCTTTCTTCTTCTATTAATAATCATCAATGATTTTCTTCGAGTTTTCTCTCTCTCTCTCTCTCTCTCTCCCTCTGTCTCTCTCTCTCTTTTTTTACTCTCTCTTTCTCCCTGTCTCTCTCTCTTATACTAGAGTAGTACAGAAGAAGAAGAAAAACAGAAAAAATCTCTTATTATAGTCAAACTTGAACATTTTCTCGTTTCCGTTTTTCGAGCCGATCTCAATAGACATTTAAATTGAATGATTGATTTTGATTCTCTTCGTCTATTTCCATCTATCGTCTTTATTCTAGTTTAGAACGAATAGAAAAAAGAAAAAAAAAAAAAGAAGAAATTGGACGGTTTTCTGCCATGTCTAATTATATTCTAGAGTATATTTTCCTTTCTTTCTTTGGATATAGCTTTTCCTATTTTCCGTTTATTACTGCTATGTAGACGTAATCACAAATAATCATTTTTTTCCTATTTCTCATCATAATACTATTATTGACATGGTTATTGTGTGATTTCCTTACCATCATATTTGATTTTAACAATGCAGGAGAGAAAGAGAGACTTAGATTTTTAAGTTAAAGTAAAAAAATAAAAAGGAATTTTATTCCCCCCCTCTCGTCCTCCCCATACACACACACACACACACACACAAATAGATACGTTTTTATTATATGAAAAAAAAAAGTTTATTATACATAATGCATTTCATTGAAAAACTTTTGTTTGGTTAATTTAACTTGGTATGGATCTTAGTGCTCTAGAGCAAAAAAGACAAAAAAAAATAAAAAATAAAAAGTAATCTTCGAGTTTTAAACTAGAGTTTTGTTAGTGCAAGTATTAACGATCTTCTAATTTTAATAAAAAATAAAAAAATACCTTAAAAGCTTCTTTTACTTTAGATGGATACAAGTGTCACGACGAGCATTTACTTAGAACAAATGAGATTTGCTTTAAAAATAAGAAAAAGAAAATATATATATATATATATATATACTTTTCCTGTAAAAATATGTAAGTTCAATGTTCATTATCAAATGTCAAAATTTGTTCTAAAGGCCAATAAGACGACTATTTCCTTATTAACTTATTCCAGTTTCAACGCAATGTCATTTTTTATTCTCTCGAGTTCTAATTGGATCGACTAAAAGGCTTGTTGACGAGAAGAAATGAAATGAAGGTTCAAATTCATCTTAAGTACGATAAAATATGTTTCCTGAACAAAAAAAAAAAAAAAAAGAAAGAAGGAAGTGGATACACACATATGTTGAGAGAGATTACTATATGTTTTTTAGTTTAGTTGTAAAACTTGCTACTATTTTTTAAATTTGTTTTTTTAACTAAAATGGAAATTTATACACACAGTATATGATGTGATTGGATTTTCTTCGTCAGTTAATATATTAATGAGTAAAAGAAGAAAAAAAGAAAAAAGAAAAAATTTACATTTATCTTCATTTTTTTCAAAAGAAAAAAAAACGATGAGTTTGATATAGTTATAGCTTATCGTATTTTTACTATCCGAATTGTTTTGATTAAGAATTGCCTCGAAGCTAAATGTCGGTCATACTTTTTTTTATTTAACTAACACACACACACACAATTAACAAGGAACACAAACAAAAGACAACTATGGGGACTATACTTTCACCCATGTTCAATCTTCTATTTCGAAAAACGTTTTTTAGAAGAATAAATATTATACAATGAAACAAAAGTGTTGAACATGTAAAACAAATTTCATTCAAGAAATTTTGTAAATAATCAATATTCGAAAATTATTATTATGATCAAAATTCTTCTTCAACAAGAAAATAAGCAATATTTTATATCCTCATTTGTTTTTTCGTGATCAGAGATCGCAACTGGATAATAAACAAAAGGAAAAGATTGTTAAAACTATAGAACTAGTGATAGATTACGCATGCATGTTTTCACTTCCTGGATAAATCATTAATCAAAAACGAATCAATGGAATTGTTTTGTCAGCTTGTTGTGCGGCAAAAATTCGTTTAAATGCGTGAAGTATGCAAATAATTTGGATAAGTTCACGCGATTGATTTAGTCGGATAAACTGATGAGATGAGCTATATTAAGATGGAACAGTAGTGAGATCATATTTTCCATGTGGAAAAATCAGTGTATACAAAATTGAGGTTAGTTTTAGATGAAAAAGTTTTTTTTTTTGCAAATGACTACAGGAAAAAAGTGATTATTTTTAGAAGAAATAATTTAAAATTTCGTTTATATTGTTGAATAAAATTTTAAATATGTTCACATCTTAATATGACTCTTCTTAATCAATTCAATTATATGTATAATGTTTTAAACATTTGATCTACAGCATTAGAGTAAATCAAATTTTTCTCTATAATTTTTTATTTTATATGATTTCATTATTAATACTATATGTTAGTCATATATAGATAGAATAATTCCTGATCTCATTTATACTCCTAGATATCATTTTCATGTAATTGAGAACCCTCTCGTCTCCTCAATTAAACATACACGCTCTCACGCTCACGCGACTATTTATTTTTCTTCTTTGGCCATCATTTTTTTGCAAGATGTGCACGACATGATCTATGCCACATAGAAAGAACCATTGAAAACGGAAGCCGATTCTCGAGGTGAGAATTTTCTATGTGTTATAATATATGTCAATCAATACTAAGTTTGCACATAAATTCGTATTTATATTTAACAATTTAAAAAAGATTTTCGTCAATTGGAGAGAAAGACAGTGTCTGTCACACATCATAACTTGTGCCTAGTACAATTGTAAGTTCTACTATTTTTTAATGTATTAATATGTATTTTTTTGAATAATTTTTCTATAAGAGGAATAGTCAGTGCATGCATATTAACCCATTAAACTTCTGAAAAAAATTAATAAATTCAATTAAAGAGAAAGTAGTATTTCCTTCTAGAAAAAAAATGTCAGCAGAATTAAATAGAATCTAGTTAGTTGTCAGGTGAAGGTGACTATGATATACGAATATATAAATTTATAATAGTTCTTACAAATCAGTAGAATGTATTTAATTCTAATATGATTTTAGTAGAATTTTCTGTCACAATTTAATCAATTGAATACATTAATTCTACTCAATTTTAAAAAAATGCATCAGATTTCTCTGACATTGTAGAAGTTGACATCACTTGTTTAAAAAATGAGATCTATTCTCTTTAGTTATATTATCTCTTCATTTATGTTAATATAGTTTAGAAAGGAAAGAAACTGACAAGAATACTGTACTGATGTGAATCATCTCCATAACTAATGAAATCGAAATGTAGTTGACATTTTGGTTAAAAAGATCGTATTTTACATCAAATTTTTCTTCTTCTTTTTTTCTTCTCTCCAATACTTCATACCATTATCAACAGTACTTTTTATCATCATTATTATTGTTATCGTCGAAAAGACGAATAAAAAAAAAAAAACTGAAATGGTTCGCATATTACAACGATAATGATTCGTTTTTAGATTGATAGATAAATATCAGATTTCCGTTCAAATAAGGATTTGTCTCTATTGTATACTTGTCAACATTAGTGTCAAAATTATTTTTTTATAGAAATAAGAAGAAAACAAATGATAGAAATAAAATAATTTCTGCTTGAAGAATTGACACAATGCTACAAAATCAAATTTCTTTTCTCAGAATAGACATAAAAAATAGGGAAAAAAAAAAACTATTTCTATGAAAACTAATAATCATATCAAAATTCTATCTTCATACAGCATTTACGAAACATGAAGAAAAAAAAAGAAAAAAGAAGTCTATAAAGACAAAAGTTACTCACTATCATTGCGCACGCATCTTACTTATAATTTATATTGCCATTAGTTTCTTTTTTTCTTCTTCTTCTTCTTCAATGGAAGATCTAATAAAGTTACAAAGGATTCGATTTACACTTATCTAATCTATAGTTGATGAAAAATTTGCGCTTCGTTAAGATATGTCATTCGCATCTCACTTATCTTAGTTTTTTAATTTTAATTTGGAAAATAATAGAATGAGAAGTTTCTTTTATGTTTCTAATAAATTGGTATAATAATCAACAAAAAAAATCCCTAATGTTAGATATTTATCATTATTCTAAATGTAAAGCTTTTAAATGAATAATAAATTCAGTAATTTCAAAATAAAATACTAATCTTCACGTTAAAATCTTCAATCTTTAGTATAATTACTCAATATCATATCTCAGTGATCGAATCTTCTTACGTTTTTCACTTCTACAAAATAAGAATAAATAAATATCTGAGAAACAAATAAAAAAATGTTAGTCTATTTGTGAAAAAAATGAGTTATGTAAGTAAGTATTGTTTTGAGTGGAGTAGTACAATACAATAGATTCAAAGAAAATGAGAATCATTTTTCATCAACAGATCATACGTAGCTGAGAATATCCTCTCTATTTTTGTCAACGACAGCTTTTCTTTATAAAACTAAGAAACTTCAAACAAATGAAATTATGTTCGAAAAATAAGGTCAAATTTCAACTGTAAATAACTTAACACATCTGGTATAAGTCAAAATTAACTCTAAGCAATGAAACGCTATAATACATACATGTGTGCGTGCGTGAAAATAGTTAGCAAATCATTTCTGTTTGTCTGTTGAACGTACTCAATTATCTATTATTTTTTCTTCATTTGATTGTTTATAATAGAGAAAAGTGATGGTGTCACACGGAAAGAAGCATATTTTTTCCCTGTTATTTTACATTTTTTTTACAACATTACAGATGGTCAATTTATCTATTGGTGTATGTGTGTGTGTGTGTGTGTGTGTGTGTGTACACACAAGACGGATGCGGTTGTTTATGCAACATGGGAATGAATTTAGGTAGATAAATAGAATATTCGAATCGTAGAATAACCGAGTTCTCACTATTTTTGATCCATTTTACTTAAATTATCTATGTCTAACTCATAATATATAATTAGAGAAAAAAAAAATCGGTCATATAGGATTAAGCAGTACGGATTATGTCTAATTATTGTATCCTAATCGCATAACTTAAATTATGTTCAATGTTAAAAGACTCACCTTAAAAAATCTATATTACAATAGAACATTCATCTTAAACGAAATTAATATAACATGCAAACAAAAAAAAAGAAAAAAAATGGTAAGAAGAATGAGAAAAAAAATCAGAGATGTAAACTATATGCAGGCTATATACAAAAACTAGAATATTCTTTTTTACTAAGTCAGGAAACACGAAAAGAAAACTGATGTGTGTGTGTGTGTGTGTGTGTTCTTGTTGGTGTAATCTCTTGTAGCAGTAATGTATTAGTAAAAAAAGTGACAAATTGGCAATCAGTGTCTAATAGCCTGAAGTGATATATAAAATATTCATTATTTTGATCGTTATGTTTGGTGGTGCAATTGTATATATACAAAGCAAAATCAAGCAAAAAATGAGCAGATGAAGAAGAAGAGTAGAAAAAAAAAACTAACAAGAAAAACCGTTATATTATTGAGTTTGTTCGTTTTGTTTCTTGTTTCTATTTCCGTGACTCACTATTAATTAGACAAATCTTCTCGAGCTGTTAAATTCGAGTATGGAATGGGAACATTCAGTTGAGATTATACAGATGAATAGTTAGTCTGATAAAAATGAAATAAATGTAAAAATGAAATAAAATTTCAAAAAAAAAAGGTTTATAGAGTTGACGAACATAAAAATAAAATTCTCTTGGGCGTTTATCCTTAAAATATACTGTGACAGCTAATGTGAAAATAGTATGATGATGGAATAGCACAACGAGAATGCAAATAAGCTGGAATTATATATGATTGATATTTTCTACATATATAAAAGTGAAATGTGCTATTTTGTTTTCCCTAATTGCATTATGTTGTATTCTATTCCTTGTATGTATGTAATTTACATCAATTATAGATATCTTCTTCGTTTTATGTTATATGTTTTACATAATTCTTTCTCGATGTGTCAAATCTGGCATGAAACAGTACAGGTACGATTAAGTATGCTTATATATTAGTAATAAAATCTATTCTGATATAGAATACATCATCTAAAACACTTTTACTAATAGAATGGTGGATTATCATATACCTTTTAAATTTTTTATAAATTGTTCTAGTTTCATTTTCTTATCCGATTTAATATTTCGACTATGTAAATCGGTATTCAACATAATAATAGCAAATGCAAGAATAAATATTGTATCGGGACTGCGACATTGTGTATTTAGTAAATTTGTCTGATAATAACGTTGACCAAATACCTAAAAAAGAAAAATATTGCATTAGACAAATGAATTACAGTTAAGCAAAAAGCAAAATCTCTTCTTATACAATATTTTCAATGAGAAAAAAGACTTAGGATGGAATCGTTTTTAGTATAATAATAAACTGATCGACTTCATTGCATTCATTAATTAAAAAAGAAGCTCAAAATGGATGACCTGTTCAAAGACAAACAAGTTTTCAACATTAATGTCAGGAGTTGTTCCCGGGAAAACTCATGGATATAGAGGTTTTCATTATCTAATTCTTTCTAAATATACCTTGTAGTTTGAATGAACATGAAAGACAATTCTCTTATTAAAAAAAAGCAGTTTTATGCGTATTCACTCAAGTATCTTTTGACAAATAGCTACTATGATTATAAGATACCTTATTAAACACTTGAAACCTGACGGCAACAACTGTGTTGAAAACGTTTTTCTTTTTTTCTATATATGAGCTCGATAGAAAATAAATAAGATATTGAAATCTATAGAAAATAGTTATTCGCATATAACAGATTATACTTTCTATGTATAGTACTTCTTATAGAAAACTTTTTAGCTAAATAAACGCCAGCTAATATCATAAAGGATTACAAAGTTCGATATGACATAGCGAAAGACTGAATTTAACACATGGATTTAAAGCGTTATTATATTAAAAAGTAAGTGACAATCGTGTGCTAGCTTATGTTAAGAGACAATACTAACTAGAGAAACTATTGATTTTACTTACCTTCATAAGTTGCTCAATTTTTTGTGCTTCACCCTAAAACACAAAAATAATCTAAGATAAAATATCTATAACACTATACAAACACTGGTACATGACAGTAATTGGCGGCGATGAATTTAAAACTTTGAAGTCGTACTCTGTAAAAACGTACGTATTTTAACAATATCAGCCTTAAAACCGTTTTAGAGTATCCAAGGAGTCTCCAAAGATTTTATTTTCTCATAATTCGTGGAAGAAGGGTCTACCACGTTAGATAGAGTCAACAGGCGACGAAATACTTACAGGTAATCGAAACGAAGATTGAAATTTACGCAGTGCTATATCTATCGGTTGCTCTTGAAAGTCCATTTCGGCAGCAAAAGCGCTAAAATAGGTTTCTATTGATATAATACACAAAGTAGAAATCTTAAGTATACATACTGCAAAACTTGCATAGCAAAATGATTTTGTAAATTGCCCAAATACTCTCCAATCATTTGACGACTGAGGCCTTTTCGTGTTAACAAAAATCGTGCGACAGCTTGTGGATTTGGCTCGAGAAAACGATTGTTAATCAGATACTGAATACCACGTTCAGGTTTTCTACAGGAAAATAGAGTTACAGAGGAAAACAGGGAAAAGAATGACACTAATTTTTCTTGGCATAAAGAGCCTGAGAACACTATAAAGTGTTTTTCTTCATATTAGACCTAACTAGCATATGAAAGTATAGTTTTTCTTTGATCTTCAACTGAGTTCGGTCACTTAGTCCTTGACTTAAACATAATTGACTTGTTAATTATCAAACTAAGGGGCAAAACCTTTAGATTGAAAAGTGCACTGATTTCTGTCTGAGTGGATGCGACATCTGCTTATACTATGAAAGAAAATGCACACGACAAAATACAATTGTCTTTTGACATGAATTTAATGTAATAAAAAAGCGACATCTCTAGATGCTAAACAAAAGCTGAATCAAATTGTGTTAACTCAATGGGTTAATGCGACTTACTTATTGAAAACATTTAATCCTGCTCTGTAACATCTACGTCGATATGTTTCATTTGCTTTAATTGCAAGTATTCTTTCTTGTCCTTCCAGTGAAGGATCAATAGTGAGATTTCTTGTTTCTATCTTGTTGTTGTCCATCTGTTGTTCATATATCGTTGGAATTTGTTGAACAGATGATGGTTGTGATTCGAGACTCGTTGCCGAATTCCTGTTTGAATAAGATGAATTCGAGTAACTATCATTTGTACTACTGTTCGACTGCAGGCTCATATTATCGCGATCGGAACTGGTTGTTGATGATTGACTAAATGCGGTTATCGATAAGCTGGGACTTTCTAAAAGATCACTACTATCGCTCGTTTCGGATAGATTACTCAAACGACTATTGTCAATATCTAATGTTACTTTTCGTTTCCATATCGGTGATGTGACGTAAGGAGAAAGTAACGGTCGTGTCATTTTTGAGTCATTCGCACTTCTAGCAACCGATATTTTTGTCTTACTACTTCTTGTAGGTGGTTCAGGTTTAATATCAGCTCGAGGGGATAATTTCCGGCATTCTAATGGCGAACCAGTTAAATCTTTATAGAAATTGGAATCAGATGTATTTTTGAACCAATCGATTGATGACGGAACATGTATTTTGGGAATATCCTTTATCGATGATTCAACTAGTACAATGGACGATTGCTGTTCATCAACAAAATCGCTATTAGTTCGTGCTTCTCCAAATACTGGTCGTGCTTTTGACGCCAATGTACATAATCGAAGGCTATTTTCAATATCTTTGCTACTCGTTTCTTCTTTAATTAAAGAGTCGAGCATATTCTTATCGTTATCCGTCACGATTAGAACACGTTTGGTTGGTTTTCGCAATGATTTATCGTGTTGATGTTCAAGCTGTTGTTGTGTTTTCTCATTTCCCTCAATAAAATGTTCAAAGTTGACACTTGGCAAATCTATCTTTCTATCAATAAAATGTTCATTTGTTGGCGTATTCGATGAAGATGACGACGAACTGTTGTTCTCCTTTTCGTTGCTGATAGGTGTTGTATCTGACTTTCTCATTCGAAGACACGGTTTCAGTATCGGAGTTGTTGCTATTTTTTCTTGATAAAATGAAAACAGAGGACGTTGTTGTTCGGAAAATGTACGCGACAAACGCTTATTCGTTTTGGCTGTTTCACATATTAGACGAAAATTTGTTTCTAGTTTATATCGGCGAAATGCACGTTGAATAATCGATGCAGCTCGTTTTGCACATAAACCACCACCGTATTTTCGCTCGAGCATTTCAATCTGTTTATCCTGAAGATCCTGAGAAAGTTCATATTGTAATTTCGATGATGAAGACGTAGAATTTAGCATTGCTGCTGTATTTTTCAAATGAAAACTATTTAACGCATTCGTGTCAAAATGTACCATTGGACGTTTTTGTGGATGGTGATGGTGTAATTTTAATGACGGAGACGGCTTAAGTAATGACTCAGTGTACTGAGCCTTTTGCTTCATCGATACACTTGTTAGCGTGGATGATGTTGACGAACATTCATTCGGCAAAATAAATGCTTTTTGAAAACCATTCGTTAAACTGTTAAATAAAAGAACAAGCTGACATGAATCATTGAGCATCTTTGTGAACGGCCAAGATTCTAATTTCTCTGACTACGATTAGTTGTAAACAGTCGAATTTCGCCAATACAACTCCCCTTCTGCTCATCTCATATTCGATTCCAAATCATGAACTGGATACAAAAGAGAGTGGGCGATAATAGACAAAATCGACCTACTCTGAAATTTTCCTTATATTCATGGGTGTGATGTTTACCTTCGGACGTAACACTGGCATCGAATTAACCTTTACAAAGTGCTAATTCTATGAATTTTACTTTC